CCCCCCCCCCCTCTCCAATAAGCCCTTATTCAAACGTGCCTGAAATAAATAAGCCCCCCGGGGGGCTTAGTGAGAAATCACATAACGACTTTCTTGGAGTTGGGTTCCCTGTGTTGATATAATATGAAAAAGACTGGGGCTAAATTTGTTCAAACGTACGGCGGCAAACATGGCGGCAGTCGAGCAGGAACAACAAGAAAGGTGACCTGCGAAAATAAAACATTACAGCGTAAGGTAGGCCCTCGTGAACCCGTGGTTAGACTCTTAACGCTATATTTAGTTTGTGATATAACAAAATGTGTTCCTTGTGCCGAAAATACGCTTTATTTTTTACAATGAAATCTAAAGTAATTTTGCTGACCTGGACTTGATTCCTTAGCTTTGCTCGATCTTTATACAGATCTTTATACACAGTTTTAAGACCATGCAAGAAAACTGAACACGAATACTTGCATTTGTGAGAGAGTATTCTCGTTTACGAATCAGCACTATTGCTTTATTATACGCAAGCTTACCTCATTGCCTCATTGCTTTTCTTTCTTTTTGTTATAAGAATCGTCTAAGAGAATATGGCAGCTTTTGTCTCCCCCCTCCTGAACAAAAAAAAAGTTATTCAAGTATTTGCCTAAAAATATGTTAGAGAGGTTTTTTAAAGAGCATATAATATTCAGCATATATATTGCTTATATTTTTTTGACCTATTTGTAGGTTTATACTAAAACAATATTAGACACCTCTTGCTCTCATGGCCTATGAGTCAATAGCTCGTTCGGCCTTCAGCCTCATGGGCTAATGATTCATAGACCATTCAGTCTGTGAGTCTAGTTGTTTAATGGACTGGCTGATACAATTTTGAGAAAAAAGGTTTCTAACATAAAGGATTACACTAACATTGCTATGGGCCAGAGCAAATGTTAGATAAATCTTTGTTTATAAGTCACAATCTTGGAAAGGTATTTCTGTACAAAGTCTTGCATTCAAGTGATACACAGTACAGGCCACAAGGCCTGGGGGTACTCCCATATATGGACTATAAGGGGATGATCCGCTGAACAGGGTATGGTTTTTCGAGCTTCTTGTCATAAACAGGGTATGCAATTTCACTCAAGTTCCAAGTTCTTCCTGAGTTTCCTGTCATATTCAGTGATTCTACTTTCGTATTGACCGAAACTGGTTATTATGGTCATAAAAAAGCGATACGCGAGGTGACATGATTATTGAAACAGGAACTCAGTGCAATGAATTATATCTTTTGTCATAAACAGGGTTCACAAATTTGAGTTTTTTAATCATAAACAGGATACCCCAGGGTATCTCAGCGGAACACCCCTACCCAAATTCTGGTGGAGTACCCCCCCCCCCCCCCCCCSCCCCCCCCCCCCCCCCCCCCCCGGAGCACAAGGCAAAATACTACTAGTGGAAAACTGCCTTAATTAAGTGGAGGGAATAATGAACAATTGTAGTTCACTATTTATTTGAGTGTTTTTGTTCATTAATATTATTCTATTCATTTTTTAAGTGTATCTTTACAACAACAGCATGGATGAGGAGATGCATGCCAATTTTCACATGGTGAGCATAACATTAATCTCAAAATACCAGGCCTGTTTAGCTTAAAATAGTTTTAACTTCCAAAAGAAGTATCCTGAATTCAACATCCTATCCTGAATTCACTTGACTGACCACGAAGCAATGGTTTAAAGTCGAGACTGGACTTGATTGTTTTGTTCACCAAGTTCAACCTTGACTTGAAACCATTTTTTGTGGCCAGTCAAGCAAATTCGGGATAGGTCTATTAAAAACATATGAATAATCAATAAGCTTTGATCCTTTGGACGAACCATGCACATCATATGCATCAACCTTAAACTTCAATAAATTCCTCTTCAGTAAGCATTCTTTATATAAGAATGCTTAACCAAAGTTACAAAAAAAAGTTGTATTAATTACAGCTTGTGGTCTTTAGTTTTGCTATAGATTATGATACTGCAGACAGCTGTTATAAATATTTTGCATTAAATTATTTGCTAGGTTGAATATTATTGATAAGAAAAAAATCAAATAATCAGTCTGACATACTGTATGTACTCAATGACATTTTCAATTGGATATTGAAAACTATTGCAAAGAACACCTGTATTCCAGCAGGGTAGCCTTTCAGTTACAGAGAGGAACAGAAGGGGAATCTAAATACTGCAAAACCACACAGGACAAAGTAAAATACCACAATACCACAACTTGTATCAACTGGAAAAAGCTTCAATTACTAAACCTTTCACAATAATGGCCTCTGACTGTACAACCTGAAGCACTGACAGAACACTTTCAAATGTCACCTGTTATAAATGGGAGCGCTAGGAAATTTAAAGAAAATATTGTGACCAGTACATCAGTCACAGTATCTATCAATATCATGTGATACAATTCTGATTCAATGTGCACATTACATGAAATTCATAACTTATTGCAGAATTTCTTTGTTTTATCTAGCCTCCAGGAATAGATGACTTTAACATTATCAAGCCAATTAGTCGGGGAGCATTTGGGTAAGTGCCATACCTATCAAGTAAAAAATAATATATTAATAATATAATATAATAGTTCCTGAGCATTATTAGAACTCAATACTCCTACATAAGTGTCCTAAAGTTAAAAGCAATAAATAAAAATTTACAATATCATTGAGATATATATCAATGAAATAGATAGATACCAAGAAAAAATCAGGATGCGAACAAATAAAAGGGAAAAAAAATCAGGATGCAAGCAAATAAGTTTTAAGCGCTGATTTAAACGAGCATATCGTACTAGCAGTCCTAACGTTGTATGGTAGCGAGTTCCATAACCTAGCAGCAGCTTCGGAAAAAGATCGGTCTCCATATGTCTTAGGACTAGATTTAAGAACAACTAATAAATTAGAGTTAGATGATCTTAGATTTCTTGCTGGTTATTTCCGTTTCAGAGTTTAAAGGAAAAGCACGAAAACATTTCGGAGAGCGTACAATACACGTCTTTCCACCATGCTAATAGTATATTAATATTTATATATTATAATATATTAATGCATTATATTATAATTATCAAAAGTGTTGATCAAGATCTCACTTACTGGTACTTTAAAAAAATGCTTCAATACCATTATCCAAATAAAAGCTGGATGCAAGATCATGCCATCCAACACATGTATTAGGTTTCCTTACAAAACATAGTAAAGTGTTCAATTTACTACATTTTTCCTAATAAATTTCACAGGGGTTTTCACAATTATTTGATTTCCCCCTATCAATTGATGTAGAGGTGCTCTTAATTCCTTTTATTAGGTTCAATTAGGGTTAAGGACAAAGGGGTAGGGTCATAAACCCTTAATCACACTTGTGGTAGTTCTAAGTAGGAAAAAAAAGGTATTTGTGCAATGAAAGATTAAGATGCACTTAAGATTCTTTTTTCACAAATATGGCTGTATCCATTTCTTTCACAGTGCATAAGTGACAATAGACCCCTTTCGAATTCCAAATTACTGCTGTGTTTCTTGATTACAGACTCATTTGCACAGGGTTAGCCTCAAGTTGCGCAGAATATTCACGTGTTCCTGTCAAGGTCCATCGAGTTTCAAAATGTTTGTATTGTTGAAGTTGTGCATTCTTTACTTTACCATTGGTATTTGTGAATATTTAAACACTGATACGAGGCTAACCCTGTGCAAATGAGTCTGTAATCAAGGAACACAGCGGTAATTTGGAATTCGAAACTGGTCTATTTTATAGTGTCGACAAATTTGAAAAAAGCAGTTTCTAACTGAAAAATATTCATGTATTTTAGCATAGTTAATAGATAACATAGTTAATAGTTAATCATAGTTAACTATGATTTTAGTCAGGTGTTTCTTGCAAAAAGAAAAGATAGCCCTGATCAGATGTATGCTGTCAAAGTAATGAAGAAAAAAGATGTTGTCAACAAGAATATGATTGAACAAGGTAAGCATTACTGTAATTCCTGAAATTTTTTATTTTTTTGCTGCTGTCAATCAAAAATAATCAGTTGGTACCTTTAATATTCTTGACTGGCAGCAGTGAAAAACCAATTTCACAACAAGTCGTTGGAATGTCTGAGTTTGATTTTTTTTGTGTGTGGAAAAACACTGCAGTAAATTTTAAAAAGTGCCTAAATCGTTACAAACGGAACTTCTGTCATACAAATTTAATTCATGTTTGTTTCCAGAGGTTAGTGTTCATTTATCCCTTCTTTAACTCTTCCTTGTTTCTTTTGTTTTTAGTTGTGGCAGAAAGGGATGCATTGGCAATATCGAAGAGCCCATATATTGTTAACTTATTTTATTCTTTTCAGTCTAAAGACAGAATCTTTCTGGTATGTAATTTGTTTAGTTGCTTGTTTCTTGAAATTACACCATGGTCATCTCAGATTTCTTTGACTGAGACATCTCTCAGATAGTGAAAAGGAACAATTACGGTTAATATTCCCACATTGATAATGGTGAGGGAGTGTTTTTAATTCAGTATTAGTTTTAATACTCTCAATAACAATAACAATCATTAACAATCCCATTTGAAAAATACTCAGAATTTTTTTAAACCATTTTTTCATACATATGTGCTATGAGTAAATTACCATGGCAAACTTTGCCATCCAGCACTCGATTCGATTTGCATTGCTAATTTTGGCACGACTTTTAGGAGGGGGGGGGGGGGTAGTGTCAGGTGACCTGTTGTTGCAAAATGCCTATAGGGTGTATGTCTTACAGCTCCAGCATTCATAGGCTACATTCCATTCAAATAATATCATTCTTGCAAAACCCAGCTTTAATGGTAGGGATTTGACTCCCTGCAAGCAAAGAAGAAGCTGTGGCATGGGCATACCTATTATAACTCTTCCATATTTCATTGTAACCAGTGTGCATTATTCTACACCACTGAATATAGAACCAATCAGAATGCATATGTACAGGTATTCCAAAGGACCATGTTTTCTTGACTGTTCCTTCTCATCAAGCATTGCAGCCTTGGCATATTTTCAATGGTGTGGGATAAAATAGTAATACAATGCCACTGTCTTGCAGTATATTTTCTTGTGCACTCCCTCGCCTCATGGGATATTTCATGGTATACAGGGCAGTAACCAGGGGGGAGTACAGGGTGCACATGCATCCCCCCCCCCCCCATAAAAGCTTAAGGTCCGCTCATCTATCTCCTTTTACTTTAAAATTGCATGTAAATGTTTTTTGATTAAATGAAGACCACTTGGCATCTGCATATTGTAGCATTTTTATTTTTAGGATTATTTTTTGGTGTCTGTGACGTCATACACTCAACATCGAACATCGCTCCATACATTTCTTTGTAGTTTATGATCAAAATATCAGTAGTAAAGGGAGAAAGAAATACCCAAACACCCCAAAATATAAATTATAGTCACAAGTAATGTGAAATAAGCACATTAGCCACCCTTTGGGCTTCATAGGAATAAAATAAATTAAGGATTTATATACAAAGAAATGTATGGAGCGATGTTCGATGTTGAGTGTATGACGTCACAGACTCCAAAAAATAATCGTAAAAATATCATACTTTCGTCCTGAATATCGAGAAAACACTTCATATAGTGATTATTGGAACTTTTAAGAGTATTCTTAGGAAGTTTCAGCTGAATCTAAGTTTGAGCGATTTTCGTCAGAGTAGCACTTTAAGAAGCACTAACCCACTATTCCTTTTTTTTTTGGTTCTGCTTATGTTTTGGTTCTGCTATTTTTTTTTTTTTTTGGTTCTGCAAATCATTGCCTGTGCACCTCCCCTGCAAGATCCCTGGTTACGCCCGTGGTATACCACTTATAACCATTATAGAACTAGAAGGTATTGCAGGTAATTAGAATATATTAGTTGTGTAAGTAGAATTTATCTTTTCTAAATTTGATTGGAATTTTGCTTTGAATTTGAGAGGCTTACATACAAATTTTATCCTGAATGGCACTGATGTGTTCCTGTTTTGTTCACCTTGGGGATTGAGGATAATGAAAGAATCTTAGGCCTACAGTTCAGACTAAAACAAATGCACATTCAATAATGTTTATCATAGGCTGATAAAGTTTGTTTTATTAAAACAGGTAATGGAATATTTAGTTGGAGGTGATGTCAAGTCTTTATTGCATAATATTGGCTACTTTGATGAAGAAATGGCAAGAATATATATTGCACAGGTAAATCACGAACATTAGTTAAGTAGTAAAAAGTCAAATGTGATTTTTTTAGTAATGCACCGGCAGTCAATTGAAACCTCCGACCTCCGGGACATGGCGGGGAATTAACGCGGCAAGACCTGGGATGTTCCGCTCATTTAGAAAGCGTTAATGGACTGGGAAAGTATAGAGGGGATTTTAACGGTGGATTGTAAATCAGCATTGATTGATTTTGAGGGTTGGGATTTAGCTATCACATGCTTGATAAGGATGGCAGTATATTTACCTGCATTTACATATTTTACATACACAGGCAACACTGCAATTTTTTAAAATCATCGACGGGCGATGAAAATCACGCAAGTTATTTTGGTAATGACATCTTATGATGTCGAAACATCGATCAGTATTATCGCTTATGTTTCTATTACAATACAATTTTCCTCAAATCTTTACTCATTTTTATGCTGCTAAAGAGACATTCTTCCAAGCCATTCTTCCAAGCCATCCAAGTTAATCCATTTAAAATCACACCCAGATCGCTGCAAAAGTTGCCGGTGTAAACGAGTCTTTAGCATTTACAAAACCTTCTGTTTTCGCTGCCCACACTAATACGAGTGTAATAATAAGTAATGTATGCGTTTTCAATAAAATTCTTGGCATGTTCGTGTGGACGCAGGGCCCAAGCGCATCGAAAAGTATGCTTTTTCAAACGAAAACGCATTTAGGGTGGACGGGGACTTGCAACATGATTTAAATTTTTTTTTTACAATTTCTATATTACAGGTAATTGCGGCTTTGGCTTATCTTCATAGTCATGGCATAATTCACAGGTATTTATGATTTTCAATTATTATCATAAATTATACTTTTACTGCTAATCGAAACACCGTGGGCTCCTTGAAATATGTTCCAGGAATGTTCTATTCTTCTTTGACCAATCAGAAATGACTCTAATCAAAAGATAACGGAAAGATAACAATAACACCCCTGAATGATTAAGAAACATGAGCAGTATTCAATAACGACTGGCACAATTTGCAAGCTCCTTTTTCCATATACTGCTTTCTCTTTTTTCTCCCATATTTTCTGGTGTCAAAAGGATCTGTATCTATGATAAATGTAGGGCTCTCATAAACCTGGTGCACACGAGCAATGCAAACGCAAGCGCAAACAGAACAGACCTTTTCGACATGGGCGCAATGCCAGACCACGTGCCATTCTCTTGAGATACTTTGAAAGATTCCCTGTTTGAGTTGTATCTATATTCATCGTGTGCAACTGTTAAAGAAATAATACTCTAGCGAATGACACGAAATGTTCTGAAATGGGCAAAACATTGCGTTTAATAGGCCTAGGGCAAACGTCGAACTTTCCATGCACCGAACTTAACTACATCAACGAATGCCGCCTCATTATCACCTGATATCCATTGTTTTTAATGAGTTCGGTGCATGAAAAGTTCGACGTTTGCCCTAGGCCTAAGGTAAATTGATCTATTACATGGTGACTTGGGAACTATTGCAATGCAAACGCAAAGAATGGAAACTTTTTTTTATTTTCTTGTACTTAGTCTCGTATCTGCGTTTGCATTTTTAGCGTGTGAACATAAAAATATATCGTTGTTTATAGAGGATAACAGTAATTGAACTGATAAACTTGTGGTCCTCTTTTRACGTCTGTAGTTAATTAGGGACGGGACCGCCATGCATGGTCTCCTAGTCACATGAGTTGTGACCATTTGCAGATGTGATTACAAAGTGTTGGTTCGGCCAAATCTTGAACCATAACCTCATGCACAACATACCGATGCTTTTACCAACTGAGCTTATTGTGAACCCCCCCCCCCCCCCCCTCCCCACCTAATGAATTCTTACTAAACGTTTTCATTTAGTGTCATGTGGTTGAAATAAATATTCTGTAATGGATCAATTATGATAGATATTTTTCTTATCAAGAAATTTTACTACACAGAGACTTGAAACCAGACAACATGTTAATATCAAATGAAGGCAAAATTAAACTCACTGACTTTGGACTCTCAAGGCTGACAATGGAAAGAAGTAAGTCCATTGATTAGAATTATATATCCAAGTTCTGATCTTGCCTGTTTAACTGGTTTAAAATCATTAAAAACTCATTAAAAGTGTTAACGATAAAAATTGAACAATTACTCGCTGAAGGCGAGGTAAATATTCACCATAATCACTGAGCCTGAGGTAAATAATTGTTTTAGTATAATTTTAGACTTGAATATCGAAGAAAAGACGACATTCAGGTTAAAAACGTGCACTTGGTCGGAAGCAAGTGTCCCTTTATTAGCATTTCTGGTGTTGAGGGGAAAAACTGGGGCGAGATGGCATTGCGGTGTATTTTTGGCGAGGGAAAATAGGAGGCCTGTGTTTACATATGCTAATTAGTTGCCTCAAATAAGTATGGGCAAGTTCTCTAAAAACTTATTCGACTAAAACAATATTTTCATTCGCAAAAAAATTCGTCCCTTGAATTCGTCCAATGAATAAAAAAGAGTGAGTACATTAAGAAGAAACTTCAAAAATTGTCATAGATGGTTTATTTTTTACGCGCGCTCTGTTCAAAGTTTGTCCATTTTCACTCCTCTTGAGCGTCTCTTGCTTGGGCTTCGGTCGAACCTCTTCTGTGGCCGTTTTCTCGAAAATAAAATAATATTTTCGAAAGCCAACTACCCAGTGATTCATATCTAATGATGGCCTACCTAACTTCAAAAGAAGAGCGCATTTGATTTTTTGACCCTTGCCACGAATTCTTGAATTTGTTCTATTCTTGTGGACATTGCCTCTTGACCATTTCCCAAATATTGTGCCAGAAAACGGAGAAAAGATAAATGTTTTATGTTGTCATGTCGACAAAATAAAAGCCTTTATAGGCATTACTCCCAAACATTTTTCTCCAGAACCAAGTTTTACAGACGTAATGAGTACACCTAGTGTGGCAACTCCATACTCACAAGGCAGAGCGTACTTCAGAACTCCTGGTCAAATTTTGTCATTGACCACTGACTTTACCTTCGTAAGTATTTTTTGTTTTCTTGTTTCTTATCTGATCCACTGTATTTTAAAATGAACACAAATGTGTTCAATTGATAAGTAATACCTCTGTGGCGGATTTAGGGGGGGGGGGGGTTMAAAAGTATGGTACTATTTCATGAGATTTCATATGAAATGGGACTGGTGGATAGGTTATCCTTATCAGGAGCGCCCCTAGACCAGTGATGTGCCTCATGGGAAAAATAATGATGCAAGAGAACGTTATTGTTGTGCTGAGATTTGCAAAAATGAACCCCCCTCTTAAAGTCCTGGATTCGCCACTGTACCTCGGTACAAAGGGAACATTTAATCACTAATTTAACGTAGAAATGCATGTAGTTCGCTTTGCTTTGATCCATAAAGCAAAATATCTAATTTTAACGGTTCCTTGGCCAAGAGGAGTCAAAATACAAAAACGCAAACATGAACAATTTGCAGGTCATGTGAGCCCACCCCTCAAAACAAACTGCCATGTGCAGTCAACACATCTCTTTGTACTTAGATCTTATTAACCGAGCGGGAAGTCTGTACGGGATAATCTTGACCGAGGTCGGAATGTACAGACCGAGCGCAGCGAGGTCTGTACCTGACTGAGGTCAAGATTATCCCGTACAGACCGACCAAGCTCGGTTGATAAGAGTTTTATTATATGACTATTTTCATTGAAAAGGACAAAATGTTTTCGCCGTAAGATTAATATGCGATCGGACCGGTTAATACCGGAGAATCTAGACCAGTCCGCGATGCGATCTATCCAATCAGATTGCTCGATTTGCTCGTGTCCAGGCTCTAAGATTCACGGTCATGTAAAAAAAACCCTTATTAGATGACCGTAGAGTAATCAACCTACCCGAATCATGAATCTCTTACCGATGGGTAAAGTCGAATGGCTCGCGCGGATAATTAAAACTTATCAATTTATGAATGAAAAAGTATTTCAATTCTCACTCTTAAATCACACTAATTAGGGAGTTATCTACCTTATTCTTTCTATAAAGGATGAATACTAGAGATTAAATCTCTCTCGAAACGATGAAGACTAGTTGATCATGGTTTTACTTTAGTCTGTTCCTAGGTCTGCAAGACCTGGTCAGCGACATCGCACAAAAAGTTCATCAATGGTCTCTCAACACACTGAATCCGGCGTACAAAGTTATGTGTTTAGTTCACCAGAGCCAAAACGGACGCGTGCGCAAAGCATGAATACTATAGGTTCAGTTTGCTCACCAGCTACTAAAGAAATCCACAGTTCAATGACCCCTCTTACAGGTGAGTCCTGCTTCGTAACTAATCATTTCATCGTGAAACGATACGATTTATGGGCTAGACTAATTGTCCAGTCCTCTCTCATAGGTTAGACTATATGAGCTGCGCTATGTATAGTCTATACTGTGATATAGTCTTATATGTGTATTTGGTTTCCTCTAGGTGGTGCCCTACGGAAGAAAACTCATTTCTGTCCAAAAGTTTCACAAAAAATGTTTAGCCCTATCGACCTTGAGGAAGAATACTCACCGGATGCAGTTATTAAGAACGTTCATGAATTATCACCAGATGAAGAAAGTTTGCTCCCAGATCTCAAAAGAAGGCGTGTATTAAGTACCGGGTTGACGCAGGAGCTAGCGGCTATTAATTTCAGGGACCGTACTGGTTCATTTATGGACAGTTTCGAATCAATTCCAGAACACGGAGACATGTGTAAGGAAGCACCAATGCCTGTCTTGCAAGAAAACATTCCTTACAAAACTGGGGTTTGTGAAATATCAGAACCATTTCTTAGCCCTGTATTCGACTCTCAGTCATTGAATTCATGCCACAAGTCTCCAAGAGAGGTTTCCAACCAGACATTTCTAAAGTCTTCGATTGATGGAGAAAAGCCTCCTCGGACCCCACTTAAAACAACGCATTTTCTGACCTCTGGTTATTCAAGCTGTGACATTGTTTCTACGGATGCCTCCAGGATTCATGGAAATACCAATTTATTTAATATTCCTGATAATCTGTCATATCAAACAGAAAATAACAGTTGTACCATGAATTTTGTTGGAAATGAAAACAGTGTACCTAATGTTCCCGCCGATAAACTAATTGTTCCAAGTTTTGATGACACCTGTCATATGGAACTGTCAAAGAAAGAGAATTGGAAAGACCAACGTCTTCTTTGTATGTCCCCGTCCATTATTGCGTCACCAATAGAAATGGCGAGTGTAAAACTAACCCCTAAGCCCATGGAAACGTCACACTATGTGAGTATAAATTACTTTAATATGCACTACATTGGTTTGTATACAAATATCTAATCAGGCAAACAAAGTTCAAAAAAACATTTCACTCACTGTGCACTGTATTTCAAAAGAGCCAACAACGAACAGTTACAAATTTGATTCAATTTTGCAATTTAAAAAAACGCCATTAAAAATTTGACAGGTAAATTTGTGTAAATTTGCATACGACCCTGGGCTAACAGGAAAACAAAAAGAAATGACACCAATTCCACGGAGAAAAAGTGTGATTTTTTCATGTTTAGCCTTTTATCCAAGATAAACTCTATATTTCGATGTGGTCAATCATTTTGGATAAGCTGTACATAATTTGTATACTTTAATATTTTAATTAATTTTGTCACCTATTTGCTAATACTGTTTCATGGATAAAGTGTTTGTACTTTAAAAAAATCTTTAACTTGTTTTGAATATAAAATGTTTCCCATGATGCTCAGTGATGTCAGCTTTCAAGTTTTAAGGGACTTCTTTGAAATTATTAGTGTGCAATGATTTTCTAGGAATGTATTTATATCCCAAGTTTAAAATTGTTTAAATCATTACCTGTTTGAATTGATTTTATGACAGCATCGTTCACTACATTTTCAATTGCCATGCTTTTTTAGAACGTGCACCGAACACCTGGTATGCCAGCGAGAACGCCTTACAGGACACCCAAATCTTGCAGACGTGGAGCCATAAAGATTGCTCCCAGGAATAAAATCTTGGGCACGCCAGATTACCTTGCGCCTGAAATATTGTTTGGACTGGAGCACAGTAAGTTCTGCACCTATTGCGACATTTAAAAATTCAGGATGCGTCGTTGCGACCCGGGTTCGAAGTCATGTGAATACAGTTGCCTTTTGGTTATTTTCAGTTATTTTTGTGTTTTGTTTTGTTTTGTTTTGTTTTGTTCGTTTTGTTTTGTTTGTTTGTTTGTTTGTTTTGTTTTTTGTTTGTTTGTTTATTTGTTTCTTTTTTGTTTCTAGTTTGGTTTCGGAAAGGGTTTGAAAAAGGGTGCGGACTTAAAAGTTTATAGGCTTTTTAGGCTTCAGACTTTTCATAATGATGTCAATAATTCACATAAACGCAGTTAGCCTTTGTTAACCCAAAACGGGAATTTTTTAATTTGATTATTCCTCTCCATTTTTTGCAGCTCCAGCTGTCGATTGGTGGGCTGTTGGTGTTTGTTTGTATGAATTTTTGACTGGTTTGCCGCCATTCAACGATGAAACGCCTGAGCTTGTTTTCAACCACATTAAAGACAGAGGTTTGTGGCAAGCGTAAAATAGAAAGCTCCCATTTTATTCAGTTTTCATGGTTTCTTGTTAATGTTGAAAACATACGGAAAAGAAAATTTTCTGGCTATGGTTTCTGGCAACCCCTACTCTATCATTAATAATTCCCACTAAGGTTTAAAGTATTGAAAGAACGCACCAAATTTAGACAGCCTACTACAATGTAGATTCAGTATATAGAGATTACTTCATGGAAAGCGCGCGCGTACGGGATTTTCGCACGAGTTGGTGAAGTATCTGAAATCGAACGAGTGAGCGCAGCGAACGAGTGAGATTTCAGATACAAAACTAACGAGTGGGGAAATCCCGTACAAAGCGCTTTCCATGCTGTAATTTATTTATTTTATGCATACTGAGATTTTGTTGTTTTTATTTATTCACCTTTAATGGGTTCTCTAAAAAAATACAAAACTGCTGTATTTTAAAATTCTCCTCCGAAAAGCTAAAAGCTTGTTACATGTAAAAATATCACTATTAAAATCAAAAAACATATCTGGTACAAAGTAAATAGCAAAACGTTTCAATTCTAAACTAAATATGAAAATAACGAAAAAAGCAACCAAACTCAGTAGGTCAATGAAGTCTTATAAACTTAGTTTGTCAAAGCGGAGAGCTGTCTTCGTCTCGACGACTCAAACACACGCTTGATGCGTTTGAAGCTACATGTTGACTCTGTTGATTTGAATGAGTTATCGGTGAAAGTCGGCGACTTGTTTAAAGTTTTTATTGTTATGTTAAACTGTCCTCATTGAAAAACTGCTCCACTGAATGGACCTGCTGCAGGGAAACTAGAACTTTTCATGAATGAAGATTAACCGGCGACACTCGATGCCCACTGCACTTTGTAAACTCGACACTGGCCTTTTTTCTATAGATGTACTTGTAGTATTTCCACTCAGAATCAAAGACATGTTTTTCTGTTGTTCGTTTGAGATAGTACTGCAATTCACTGATATATCCATTAAGCTCTTCTGGCGGGATTTTCTCGACTCTTTGGAGTTGAGAAACTCAGTCAGCAAACTTACATATCTTCGTGTTTTGAAAGAGTGTTTCTGTTTTGTTTTTTGTTTTTTTTTTGGTCTTCGATAAACTTGTATGATAGGTTTGTCTAGAGACACAAATCTTCTTGGTTGTTCAGCCATCCTCACAAATATCTCCTAGCTCTTGATTAGATAAGTTTAATTTGAACTACAAACAACTAGAATACACTGAAAATATTTGAAAGCTGCTCGACAAAGCTACTCGCGACGACCGCGAAAACACGATTCGCCTTGACAGTGGTTTGCGATTGGACGAAACGCTTTTTTCACGCGTGACAAATCGTTTCGCTTCTCTGATTGGCTAAAAAAAGTCGCGAACTTGTTTTTCACACAGGAAAATTTCATAAGAAAATCTCAGTATGTATAAAATAAATAGGATTTCTTTGCACACTTGTACTCTCAACTTCAAATCCTTGAGATCTTAGTAGTTTTCATTCTTCTCTATCTCTTTTTTCTGACTATTCGATTACCTGCATGGTACAACATTAGACACTTTATCGATGATAAAAAAAGTATGGTATTTGCTGTGAATGCTTGTAATTTGTCGTGGACACATCCCAGTGTACACACATTCCAAGTCTGCCATGTCATTCCTTTTATTGTGATGTTCTTCGGATATACATACACCTACTTGCGAGAACGTTGTCATGCGATATTGGAACATTAGTAATTTAGTGAGAAAGGAATACATTAAAAGACAAAAGAAAAAGTTCAGCTTCAGTGATCTTCTTTTGTTTTTAATATAATTCCCATCCCACTAAATCACTAATGTTCTATTTTCGTATGACAACGTTCTTGCAAGTGGGTGTATACATTCAGGCATAATTGAAATCCATTTATTATTATTATCATCATTATTATTACTGCAGTTATTTTAAATTTATTGAAAAAAAAAAAAAACCTTTTTGTTTGAACATTAGTATCAAACAAATTATTAACTTCTATTTTAGACCTGCTGTGGCCAGAAGGAGAAGAAGCTCTTTCAGAAGACGCTGTTGATTGTATCGATCGTATTCTTACAGTATCACCAGAAAAAAGGCCAGGAGCTGAAGGTATTACAAAAATGTTCCTTCAATTAATTCAATTCAATTGATTCTTTTCCACTGACTAATAAAGTCTGTGTTGTAAATACAAAATAAATAAGCGTAATTAGACAAACTTTTCAGCATTGATTCTAAATGAAGTGAAAAGTTGAATAGTAAATTATTTTTATATGGTTTGAGTGATTCATCTTGGAGATATCAAGGAGATATGACCTGACGTCAAAGGATGCATTTCAGTTTATCTGCCATCACATGGAAATCGGAACTCTGATTACTATGAGAAATTGTTTTTGCTAGAACTTTTCTTTAAATCCTAAGTAAGGCAATGGTGTTCCATGCAGGATATTTTACTGACTAAGAAACGTTTTGTATATTTAATGTGCCTCCTTTGACGTCACATCATTAACATATTGGGAGTATAAACCTTGATATCTCCACAAGATGTCGTTGTCAGAGCCAAAGAAGATCCGCACGGAATAATCTGAAATCTGAACACTAACCGCCGTGTTCTTGGCGAGAACCACAATGAGAAACACAAGCTATTCCAGCCACAGTTTAATTCTTGGATATCGCTTATCGCCCATTGCCTATCACCTTTTTCTCCGACAACCTTTTTGAATTACATGTAGGTATATACCAACAAATTAAAAAAAACTTGAGTTGAAAAGGTTAAATCATCCAAACTATGACAAACGGGTAATCCAGTAGTCAATATCCTGGACATTTTGAGTGTTTCCATACAAACACATGAATGAAGAGTGACAAAATGCTTCGTTCGAGAACTTGAGTCAATGTTCAAGAGATGTATGTAATTACAATATTATTAATAATATTATTTTGAGTACACTGCAATTTGTAGCGTAACGTATGGTTTGCTTTCAGCAATCATTGATATATCATTGATATAGTGCAGAGAGAAAACAATAGGCTGGGATATTGAAAAGTAATTATTATCAAATTACATGCTGTGATATTTTTCTCAACCCTTCAAATTAACGTTATTGTATAATCTTTATTAAACAGAAATCAAGTCTCATTCATTCTTTAGTATTTTGGATTGGACAAACCTTGACAAACATCCCGTGCCATTTATTCCAAATCCTGATGATGAAACTGACACAACTTATTTTGATGGTAAGCTCAATTAACGTTTTCAGCTGTTGATGAACAGATCATAATCATCGCCTCGGGAAGCTACAGAGAATTTTAGGGGAATCACATTGTTTTGGTACAGGGGATCACATAGTTTTGGTACAGGGGGGATCATATAGTTTTGGTACAGGGGATCACATAGTTTTGGTACAGGGG